TAGATTTGATCCAGGTTCGAATCCCACACTTTACATATATTTTTCTCAATTTTAGTTTAACGAGCCAATTTCTAGCCAAACACGAACACACTGTTCACGAGCCGATTTCGAACACGAGCTATTTCGAACGAGCCGAACACGAGCCAAGCCTCGGCTCGTTTACAGCCCTACAAAGTACACAGCATGCTATAATTTTTCTTCGGGCATTTACATACATACCACCAAATTCTTAAGAATTTATATATCCAACATCTAAACTTTACCTTTTACATTTATACCACCCAAATCTTTCATATCACACCAAAAATACCATCATCTGATACATGGTTAAGGTGGCATATCTGTAAAAATTGAAGAATAGGTGTTATAATATGTAAATACATAACTCTTGCAAAAATAAAATACAGTCCATTATCAACACAGCCAACATACATAATCAAAACATAATAATTTCTAGCCATAAAATGGTTTATTAAACTGGTAAACATCTTGCTCTCTCATCACTTAGCAAAAGTTAGATAGACCAGACAGGATTTACAGGAAATCCAAAAACTTAAAAGATAAGTTTCACTCATACATACATACAAACATCAAAATCTACGCCTGGTTCAATACGAGTAAACTTTCTATCCTACGAAGAAATATTACGCGCAGACATAATAGGTGCAGGTTCGGTGATATTGTGATGTACGTTATCTGCACGTAATATTTCCTTCTACGCTACACAGATGGAGAAAGACACCACACACTTCAAATTCTAATAACAACTTAACAAAAAGATTAAACACACAAGAAGAAGAATCAGCTTCATTAGAAGGTTTCCGGAAAGACATGTGGAAGAGGAGGAAGGAGAGCCAGGGGGTGGAGCTCCATTATCTATATATTTCTCTTGTGGGCAACTATAGTTGCAGAGGCTTGGCCTGACTATTCTGTAGACTCCCTTGCTTGCAAGAAGATAGACATCCCTTTCGTTGTCCTCCGCGAAGGAGTAGACGATGCCCAGAGATGGGAGGCGGCTGCCTTCGACGGGATCACAGGCGATGGGAGTGTTTTTCGCACAGTCGAACGGCAATGCCGAGCTGTTGTAGTTTCCACTGTTCTTTGGGTTCTCCATGCCTGCCCACATTTCTAAACCATAGAGATCAGCATACAAGTACCTGAAGGAAAGAGGGAAGAAGATGTATTTATCAGTAGAAGCATTATTTTTAATGGTTTTAAAATTTTTCCGATGTTTAAATTTTAATTTCTTGCTTTTTCAGGTATTTGATTTTGTCTATTAGTAGTGTTAGATTTATGATTTCTTTGTACATAAAAATAGTCGGAATAAATCTTTTGGGGACATTTACATGCATATCATCCAATTATGTATTTTTATATGTAACATTTAAAGTTTTACAATCATTCATATCACATTAAAAAAATCATTATTTTACCTTTTACATTATTTTAACTTTTTAAAAGTGAAATGCACCTTTTCAGGCATAATAAAGGTGACTTGTATGTTTAAAAATCGAAGTATAGGAGTTAGATATGTAAATACATAAGAATGGAGAGGTATGTATGTAAAACTTCTTAAATTTCTTCAAAAAGGCATTTTGTATTTTTAAAGTAAACGACATACAAAAGTGCTAATTTAATTCCCGGACTTTTTTAATATTGGCTGAAATAATCATCAGAGCTGAAATATTCATATTTCACATGAAAAACTATTCAGCCTCAATTTAAAAAATACAATGACTAATTCGACACTTCTATAGACTCTGGGATTAAAATAACCCCATATAAATAGTTTGGAGTTATTTTAACACTCAGCATGCGTTTGGGCAACTTGTGCTTCTACAGATAAACCGCTTATCTAGAAACGCGGACCGCGGGGTTCGACCCGCGTTTCGCATTTAGTGTAAAAAACCAATTGCGTTTTCAGATAAACTGCTCAAACGCAGTTTTCAAACGATGAGACGGTGTTTTCAAAACGCCGCAGCGGATAAGCTGCCCCAAACGGAGTTAATAAGCATTTGACTAAAACTGACACACTAATAAATTTTCGGAATTATTTCGATCATTCGCTCTTATAATAATCAATATCCAAACTATTTGGAAGCGGGTTTACGAATCCCTATTCCTCATTCATGTGGAGTAAATCTCCCAAAGAAAATTTTAATCCAAAAATCATAGAAATGAGTTCAACTTTTGCAGTCTAAACAGTGGGGTTTAGATTTAATTACCTTCCATACAAGCATGGATCAGCTTTTGCTCTATAGACATAGCCACCAGAAATGGAAGCAGATCCAACATTTGTATTCACAGAGGAGTGATTATATCCCATCACAGGAGAGATTGGATTTATAGAGCTTAGGGAGGTATTTCCACCTGGAGTCCACTTTGATTTGTAGAGGTAAGGACCCTCATAAACACGCCATCCATAGTTCCCTCCCTTTGAGATCAAATCAACTTCCTCATATGCTTCCTATAGATGTTAGCAAACATCAGATTATTGAAAGAGTAAGGATAAAGTTAAAAACAAAATTAAGGATGCGTTTGGAACAGCTTGTGCTTATCCAGATAAGCCGCTTATTTGGAAATGCGGACCGCGGGGTTCGACTTGTGTTCCACGTTTAGTGTAAAAAACTAACAGCATTTTCGGATAAGCTGCTCAAACGCAGTTTCCAATCGGTGAAGCAGCGTAACGCCGCCACAGTGGATAAGCTGCCCCAAACGGAGCCTAATATAGATGTTAGCAAACATCAGATTATTGAAAGAGTTAGTATAAAGTTAAAAACAAAATTTAGGATGCGTTTGGAACAGCTTGTGCTTATCCAGATAAGCCGCTTATTTGGAAATGCGGACCGCGGGGTTCGACTTGTGTTCCACGTTTAGTGTAAAAAACTAACAGCATTTTCGGATAAGCTGCTCAAACGCAGTTTCCAATCGGTGAAGCAGCGTAACGCCGCCACAGTGGATAAGCTGCCCCAAACGGAGCCTAATCAGACATAATATTAATGTTACATCCAATGGCTAAAAGAGCCATAGGATACTTTGACTCAAGTTTTCTTCAAATATAAACACAAATATAGGATTCTATGACCTGCCCGACATCTCCGCAGTAGAAGTAAGAAGGCCGCGATGCATCAAAGCTGCACCGCCATGGATTTCTCAGACCTACAGCCCAAATCTCAGCCTGCAACTCACTATCTTCAGCATAAGGGTTGTCTTCTGGAATTGAATAGTTTCCCCATAGCCCAAGATCAATTATCTCACTTGAACCTACAAATATAAACATTTTGATCATAACAATGTTCAGATAATGGAAAACAGAAATAAGTAACAGGCATTATCATTCACTTTCACAAATACTGAAGAAAATATTCATCTAAGCAATTAAGATAGATGCACATGACAAGAAAAAAAAAATTTTGAGCGAATTTTGCACTTCAATACTCACTTGGTATGTTATTGACATCGAGCCGCATAATTTTACCCAGCAGAGATTTTTTATTCTGCGCAAAATTGAACGGATCGCCGTCGTTCCCACCATCCCCCATCATAAAGTATAAATACCCATCTTCCGGTCCAAAGAGAATTTGCCCTCCATGGTGTTCTGAATATGGAAGCCCCATGGTGAAAATCCTTCTTACTTCAGAAGGGGCAGCAAATGATGCCTGGATATTCAGAAAGGAGAAGCCATGTGCAAATCTATTAGAAAGACCTTCACATATGATGAACTTTAAGATGAAAATTAGTAACAATATGTTTCAATGAAGTGCTAACATCGTCCCCCGACTATTTCTGTGGCGTCATTTTAGTCTCAGAGTCTAAATATATCAAATTAGTCCCAAGTTTCTTTTATTATGAACTAAAATAGTCCCCAATGAAAACAACTTTAGCCACTGTTAAGAGAATCTAGGACTAAATTTATAATTTGATATACTCTAGAACTAAAATGACCCCCGAAATATTACGTGCTTTGTAAGTATGTGCGGACAGTGGTGGAGGAAAAGACTACATCACATCTAAGTGAAATTTTGGTGTCGTGGCATTTCCATTCACCGTTGTCTGCACATACTTACAGGGGACTATTTTGGCACTCTTCTGTATTTCAATGAATGGGCAGACGACCTCTGAAGGTGTTACTGAGGATCCATTGACAGTGAACTCTGAAATAACACTTTGATATCTGCAAGGTTGAGCGCCATCGCTCAAACCAAGCTTCGAAGGATCGCAATCCACGTCGGAGTTGCAGGAACACCTTCCCGAACAGCTCGCCGTCTGCGTCTTATCACAGTTATACGAAACGAAGAAGCGTCCATTGTTCTTGAAGTTTGGATGAAAAGCCAGACCCATCACTCCAAATGCAGTATCATAATGAACCATATCAGTAATATCAAGGAAAGTACTGGACTCATTGAAATCCAGGGTTCCACCAGATCCTGCAGCAGGAACTTTCGCCAGCCAGATCTTACCCGCTTGATCCGACAAGAAGACTCGATTTGAGCCGTCGGGGTGAGGCACCATACTAAGATACGATCCATTCCCAAGCTTCTCGAGACAGATGCCTTTGGGAGCAGCGGAATCCGCCGTGCTATTAAACGAAGCGGATTGCCCGTCGAAACAAACCGATTCACTGCCGGCGGAGCCTCCAAAAGCTTTGCAGAAGTCGGTTTCAGATTGCCAGAGATCTGAGAGTCTGGAAGATGAAACTGAAGTTCCAGCTCTGCCCTGTAATGAGGCGGCAAACGGAGAGTTCCGTATGGATACGTCTTTGCAAGAATCCCAGACCTGCGTGCAGAAATCTCCGGAAGCTACTTTGCTGGACTGGGAAGAGGTGATGGAAGAGGTTGAGTTGCACAGAACAGGAACCATTTGAATGTTTGGTTCAGTGGTGAAGAGATCTGCTGAATATGGATTACATTTCTGCAGGGATCATGGGAGAAATGCACGGTTAGAAGAATGATTCATCCATCAAGATATTGTAAGTTTTGGCTTAACCGTTCTCATGGTTTTCATCATTTTAGGGTAATTTCCCAAAAATTTCATAGATTCTACAAGTGCTTCAGTATGAAGACACTTAAGATCTTCGCTTCTAATAAAATTTTGAACAATTCCATGAAGAAACATCTTAATAATTAAGAGTTTTGATTCATTGTAGTTTAGGTTCTTATATTCGATGAACACCTTCTCAGAGGAAGACAAATTTCATGTCAATAATATGTAAATAAACTCAATGGCAATGATAAATGTATTTTTTTCAAAGTTTCTCCACAAACCTTTCAGATGTAAAAATGATTTTTTTTATATGTTATGGGTAATTTCACTTCTTAAACTTTGATTATTCGCTCTGTTCTTCATAAACATACAATCTAGAGTTTTTGTCTAAATCCCATCAAATTCATGTATATATAAAGACTCAAATTCTTTGAACAAGCCACTAAATCATGGCCTATAATTTAAAGTTGGCCCTTGAAAATTTCATAATTAAAAATATTTATTACTAGCTCTCATTGCACATAATTAACTCAACATTGTATTGATTTATAGGGTATCCCCAATATTAATTTAGACGGATTCACAATAAAGATAACATAAACTTTGGCTTAAGGTTTTAAACAAACAAATGAAAATATGTATACTTGTTTCTTCTTCTTCTTTATGTTGTGAAAGTGTTTGAGAGAGCATAATACAAAAGCGAAGTCTCTTGGTTAGAGGAAATTTTTTGAGAATGGCATTTGCCTCTAATCATGGTAGAGGCCTTCTAGCAGGGACAAGAATGTGACTTGCTTCTATTGCATGAAGAAATAGACGATTAAGAGAAATTGTCAAGCTTTGCCGAAGTAGTGCATATGAATTAAAATCACAAGTTGTACAATGTTTTTGTAAATTGGTTAAATGCAGAAGCAGATGATGCTATTTTGGTGATTATTCGAGAAAGCCGTAATGACCAATAGATCTTCGATTCAATTTAGTTATATTATATGAAACCTCATAAGACAATAATTTCCATGAATGATTCATTTGTAGTAACTATGCTTGCATAAGAAATGATGTGCTGGGTAAGACAACAGGTTTGGGTAATGTAAAATTAAAGTGAAGGTATGACTTAGACAATGATAAGAAGTCAAGTGTATAAAATACAACTTAGGGAGAATCATTAATCTTTGAGTTTTCTAAGTGGTAGATGATTTAATTTCTCAGAGGAAATGCTCCACTAAAGTTTGCAAAGGTGGACTAGTTGTCATGAAAGCAAAAAGAGTTTGCAGATTTTATGAGTTAAAAGATGCCATCTAATGAATTTGTTTCAATTTCATTAGTCGTACTAAGATACTACGATTTAGAAAAGCTAAAAAGGTTTGCTTCTTGGTTGCAAACTAGGTTTTGGAATAAAAGCGTCAGTTAAGGGAGGACAAATCGGAGATTATTGGGTAGATCACTCGCAAGTTGGAAATTCTTTCGTAGTGCTAGGTCAAGCCACTTACATGTACAACAATAATTCAAGCACTCGAGGGATAATAATTCAATGGTAGATTGACTTTCATAATCAATTCACCCATCTCAACATCCAACATATGTATCTTAAAGGACTCTTCGAGGAGTTAAGTTTAGGTATCATTTTAACTTGTTGAGATCACAAAAATATATGAACAGTTTAGAACAACTCAATTTGGAGAGGGGAGCGAGATTATAGTTTTTAAAAGTTTGGACCCAAATAATTTATTATGATATGCACAAAACTTAAAGTCAAATAACTTTTAGGATAAAAATGAATTTATTTGAAATAATTCTAAATTTTTTACCTATTATGATATATGAAAAATATTTTATTTTGAATAGTACCACTAAAACTCTTGTATAACTCCAAATAAAAATATGGGGATACAAGTATTATTATCGAGGGTAAGAGGGTTAGAACTAGGTTGGCAACAAGAGATGTCACACTAGAGCAAAATTGAAGGGGGGGAGGAGCCTTGGTATAATAGAAAAAATAATGGCTTTTCAATTTAATAAGAGAAGAGATTCATAAAAAAAAGAAGAGAAAAAAAAAATCATTTCAGTCGGTATTAACTTGATGACATAAACTCATAGTTTGCGTTAAATCTTAAGAATTTTCATGATAATTCAATAGAAATGTGGAAAAGCATATTTTGGAGGAGATTTTAATTGAGAAAATTTTCAATATTAGCAAAAGTTTATCTTTTTATCCTCTCTTATTGTATATAGCAAAACTCAGATATTCCATGGTTAGGCAATTTTCACTCTTGCTTAGATAATTCAACATTAAAGTTAAGCACTCCTAACAATCCATATAGTTGATGGCTAAGAAAGCAAACAAAGGGACAAAACAAGTCATGTATCATAGTGAGGAAGAGGACTCAACTAAGAGATGGATCCTTTTTTTTTTTTTTTGAGTAACACCAAGAACATCCTGAGAAATGGATTTAACTCAAAAGTTGATTATATATTATAGAAATAATTTGACTTGTTAACTCAGATAAATATGAGTTTACAAACTTGTCTTGCTGAAGTTATAAAGGAGAAAAGCCCTCAAAACTATGTTATTTACCACCAGGTATTTGTATTCCCTTAAGTCCAAAATAATCAATCTTTCCCCATAAAGCAGTATATGTGTCCTGATAGATAGATTTACTCCTATAAATGGTTTCCAATGCTATACTTCCTGACTGAAGCATAAGGCGGTGTTTGGCTGCATCCCGGATTTACGTTAAGTAAAATTTAGTAAATCCTATAAATCAAGATTTATCAAATTCATATTTGATGGAGAAATGCTTGCGAGTCAAATCCCTTAAATCCGTCAGCGAATCAGATTTAGTAAATTGGGATTTCATCAAAAATCAAACTGAACAAGCAAATATTCGATATAACAGAGCACAAGATTTAAATTTCACATTTTTTTAGTGGTTGGCTTGATTTACCTTAAATCCATGGCATAATCCTCTCTGTTAAACTTTAAAACTGATCCACATAAACCAAGAAAATGGAATTTGGATATCAAAAACATAAAACAAACAGCAATAGTGTAATTAATTCCTACAAAAGACATAAGATATCCTCCAACCAATTTAAAAATACTTTAATTACCCTTCCAATCTTTAAAAAAGACAAAAACAATTAATTTCACTGAACCATTGGGGATTAAATATCATATCAGAACCCACAACTTGCAATCCAAGCCATTAAATAAGCAAACACTCAAATCCATAAAAAGCAAAACTGTTCTTTACCGTGCAGAGTATAGATTTGACAATAGATCCACAAGTAGAATCAGAGATATTCATGGAACTGAACTGCTTCTGCAACGCGGCGTCGTCGGTTGCATTGCAGCAGCTGCTTCCCGTATAAGAGCAGAAGGTCAATGGCGTCTTTAGGGTTTTAGGTGCCCCTAATCACATCAAAAACAGAGAAAATTTCACAAATGAACCAAATCCTTTAAGAAAGTTGCAATAAGAAGAAGAAGAAAGAGATGCTGAAGATTGAAGAAACCCACAAGAATTTGTGCATAGAGGGAACGACGAAGAGCTGGGCAGAAGCGGCAGAAGAAGAAGAAGGGAGTAGAGGAGATACAATGTCAGAAGAGACTCCATTAGCACAGTACTCATTCTGAGAAGAGCAAGGTATTTAATGGAAGGAGTCGATCAAGTTTGACTACAGAACACAGAAAAGGATTATTTGAAGAAAAGTAAAACCTTTATGGTATGTCATCAGAAAGATTATTAAAAGGAGCTGTGTAAGAGAGAGAGAGAGAGAGAGAGAGAGTTGCAACTTGCAACTGGTTTTTTAATGTTGGGTGGATTTGCTGTCGAAGAGGACTTTCAGTGTGTGAAAAATGGTGGTTGACAAATGGAGAATGATACAAACAAAGGGGGATTCACATACGTTGGGGGATTCTTGCTGCTCCGTGGCAGGGTTTAATGATCAATATATATATATTATATAAGATAAATTAAAATAGGGGGTTTTAATGAAATTTAATTTTATGGGTTGTTTTTAATTATGTTTTCTTTTATTTTGTTTTTTTAATATTTAAATATGAAAAGAAATATATTTAATTCATTTGAGTTATTTTATTTTAATTGAATATTACATAATTTGATTCAAACAACTATTGTGAAAGTTGATGATGGTTAGGAATGCTAAACAAAGCTCCTAGCATGAATAATTTTGATCAATATTTTCAAGCTTGTATATTTAACGAAAACTCGAATATGGCCGAGATATTGCTAGATCGTGTTTGGCTCGACAATATCTTGATTTTATTTATATATACTTAAAAATAAACATATATATATAT